GGAAGGGGCCCGAGCAAGTGGCGGTAGTGACGGTGGTGGGGGTGGAACGGAGAATGGGTGGCGTGGAGAAAGAACGTAGACGAAAGCACGCAGAAAGCAAAGGGTGAGAATGAGAATGTGCCACGAAACTCGCAAGGCACGTGCTCCGAAACTCCTTGAGGAACGAGCTGCTTCGTACGCAGCATCCGCCGTGTATCTCTGTTGGAGGTGTGAGAGGGATCCGAGTGACGAACGGGGGAGAGGAGAAAAATCGGGAGGACGAGAGATAAAAAGAATGATCTAGCCAGGCTTACCTTTTTCTCACCGTCTTTTCGGAATCCACCTTTTCCTATCTTTGCGATCGATGCACGCGAAAGCACACGACACACATCCACACAGAAACACAGAGAACACTTTTCTTTTTTTTTTCTTTTCTCGGGACTCGCGACACTCTCTGTACTCTTTTCCTTTCCTTCTCTCGACGTTCCGTTATTCCTTTTTCCTCCTTCCGAAAGCTCTTTTCGGTCGCACGCGAAACCGAGCAACGTGCAACTGCCCGTGCTACCCAACTACTCTCGTGGTGCTGGTCGATGTATCGCGCCGGTCCCTGGTCTTCTCTCTAACTCTCTCTTTACGTGCACCTACTATCACGCTCTCGCACCGCCGCCCGGAACAGAAGGGGAAATCAATGAAAGAAAAGTACGACGCGAGCGCTCGTAAATCGGCATTTATGCTCGCCTCCTGGTCGACGGTCCCTCGGTTTCACTTTGACCAGCACATAAGTGTGAGTGTAGGTGTACGTGTACGAGCGACGAGCCGAAAATTATTCGCGTTCGATATCGTCGATAAACGAGATCGCCGAGTTTCGTATTCGTCGATCGTGAAAAAAAAACGAGGGAGTACATACGGTGTGTATGATGTAAACGTACGTGTGTATGTGCGCGCGCGTGTGTAAAAAATAGAATACGATATACGTGTGTGTGTGTGTGTGTGTGTGTATGTGTGAATGTGTAGAGGGTTACGCGAGACTAGAAATTAAAGCGTTAAACACTATACTAAGGAAACGGAAATAACGATACAACACGGGCGGAGGCTGCCTAGAGACTGGACACACCAGCCGTTTTCAAGCGGCTTGCACCGCTCGTCGAGCTCGTTCGGCCGACTTCGGCCAGGATCGGCCGTGCTCGCGCACCCTCGGCTAAGCTCGTCGCCAGCCCACGGCGAACCCCTCGCTGTACTACGTATCACCTCCTACCGACTCGCGCGTACGCGCTGTGAGGGGTTGCCGATCGAACTAATAAGAGACGTATGCGCGTTCTTAAATAAACTGTAACCTCCCATCGTCGATCGAACCAACTCCCCTGGTCCTTATAAAACACCCTGCTTTTCGTCATCGAGTTTTCGTAAATTCTCCAAATTTTCCTCCTCCCATCCAGCCTTTGAATCGTTCGCCAACCTAACCTTTAAACCCTTCGCGTCCTCTTCGAATCACCACGATAGTCGAGTGACGCGTCGCGATTTTCCTGTCCCTCGATTCACCGATTTAAACCTAACACCTGCCGCTTTGTTTCCATCTCGTCTCGTTAAGAAAAGAGTCGACGCTGCAGGGTGGGTTCGCGCGCGATATTTCAGTACCCCCTCGAGATGTTTACAGGCGTTTGTTCGTTAGGAAATGTTTGCAACATGGCTCCCCGACATTACGAAGCAGAAGGTATGCCGCCCTCCTGCCTCCCTCTTGCCGCTTGCATCACCCCTTGCATCAGATCATGACCACCCCTTCACGGTTTTTGACCCCCGTCGTCTCGCTGCGCTATCGCGTCGATACAAGAGTCCTTTTACCCCTTGCCAGGCCGCACTCGATCAGGAGTGAACTCAAAACCATGAATTACATCGTCGAAACTCACCGGTGGCCATTTGCCAAAGACCATGAAATTGAATCTTTCGAACAGAAGCGGCGAAAAATACGCGGCCAAAGGAAACACCACGATTTACAGCCGAGTCAAAGTCAACGAGTGAAAAATCTCAAGGGTAGAGTCGATGTACTCGCGCAACCACCCCTCTCGTTATTTCCCTCTAATCGTTTTCCCCTGATTCGCTGTCGAGTTCCTCCGTTTAACTCGCGATTTTAAGCGGTCGAAATAATTTCCAAAATTATTTTCATTTTTTTCCAATAATTCGAATGACTTTTCACAAACGTAAGCGAACGATCGCGAGCGAACAGCGGGAGAGCGTGGAAGAAGCTGCATCCCTGACCTTACCCTGGCTTTATCTGCGGAGATCGAGACAGGCCAGTCTGTAAAATGATGGCGGGCCAAAATTATGCGACGCTGACGAAACAAGCCGAGCAACACTTGGCGGTCGTGCCAATAACCGCTAGTTCGTGTTTTCGGAAATTCGTTTCCGTTACGTTACATCATCCCGCGGAACAAGCTATTTCGTCCAACTTCCTCGAGAGGAACCCGTGTCTCCCCGACTGTTCCTCCTTTCGAGTAATCCTTCAAATTCCCGGGCAATTAAGTCTCGACACTGGCACGTAACGATTTCGTGACTGTTCTCTACACTTTCCGCGAATCGCGGAGGCCATTGCACCACCCTAGCCAATTAGGAGGTCTATCGGATCGACTCGTTGGAATTCAAGCCATGGTTAGTCATCGAATGGTCGAAATGGTACGAACGATCGGTATACAGCTCGTCCAAGCGTATACCCACTGCCCAACACTGAAATTATAAATACATGCTCGTGTAAACACTATAAATATACACGACGAAGGTGTACGGAAAAGCCTGTCTCAGCCTCCTATCCGTGCACCAGAGTAACGATAAGTGGTATCGCGAATCTGCACAGGCAGACTCGTGGATGTAATAAAACTTGCCAAAGGATTTCGTTTTCGGAACACGTAGATTACGCCACCGATCTTACTGATTTCTCGTTCGAATCGCTATCACAGATTTATCTTTCCCCTCCACCCTACACGAATCTTCGTAATCGAGGCAGAGATCTTTTCGACTGACTTCACGCTTTCGTTAGGCACGAACGATTGACCAGGTTCTTTGCCTATTACGTACATGACCGGACCTAACGCTGCCGAACGCCAGAGAGAGAGAGAGAAAGAGAGAGAGAGAGAGAGAGAGAGAGAGAAAGAGGGAGCAAATCGGCATTGTCTGGTTGCATGAGAAAAAAGGGAACGAAACTGGGACCGGGGCACGGGACTTGCAACAGATGCGAAACGGTATGTAAAAAAAAAAAATAAAAAAAATAGGGACACGTAGTAGACGCATATGCGAACGTGTTCCATTATACTCGGTGGCTTTAAAACCGGCCACACGGTGCGACAGGAAGTTGTCACCGCATTACCGTTGGAATTATGAAAGTTTGCCGGCCTCTGATCGCCTTAGCGACACAGCGAACGACGAAACGATATTCTGAGCATCGAACCGGGGAAATTCGTGCTTAACGATACCCGGAATCGGTCTAGCCGCTTTCCATTGGCATGTACGCGAACGATTATCCGCTATTTTCGACTCGGAGGCGACATCCTTGGAACGTTTCCACAAAGAATGGCGCGTGCAGCTCCCGATGAAAAAGATTTACTATCCCGCGACGGAGGATGAAAGCCGTGGAGAAACATAGATCGTGAATCATTCGTGGCTACGCGTGGTTGACAAACGCGAGCCGAGCAACCCTCTTCTTTCGTTCGGTTATGATCCAGCTGTCGAAGCTACGTTTTTGGGGTTTGGCCCCACCTTCGTCATCGATCCGCCGGCACAGCCGTGCACGGGCATAATTCTACGTGGCTCCACCACCGGGAGCAATAATTCCGTCCGTGAAGTTTTTCCAGGGTCACTGAACCCCCGGCGAGATTCGTCGATAATCCAACGACTCTCCTATTCCTCGACTTTCTATCGGCTTTCTCACCGATTCGCCACCTCGACGATTCGGAGGCATCCGTGACGAAACGACCAACCCGACGAAAGTACCGCGCGAAACGGTCGTTGAAGACACAGCCCGGGGTAAAAACCGTGTCAGATATGCGAGGGAATAAATAATTATACGCGGCGTATAAATAATACTCAACGAGCAGTAAAACGTTTCACCTTCGGTTATATAGCCGGTGGATATTCGCGTCAGAGGGTCGAACGTTGGTATTATGGTCGGAAACGTGGAAGAGGGATGACGATTTTAACGAGCATCTGCACGAAACAGACGAGCCGACCCCACCTAGGAAAACAGAGGCCGAATGTGGCGAATCGATCAAGCGAGCGTGTAATCGCCGTGCTTCGCTCTTCCCCGTGGTCGCGCTTCAGCCTCGCTGTCCTCTGCCATCCTCGTTTCCACGCGATCGTGCGCGCCGATCCATGATCGCTTCTTTCTCGCCGAGCAATGATCGTATCACGCACCATCCAGGGAAACCCTACGACCGTCCTCGAAGTCCGCAAAGCGTGATTACGTAACGTAAACAAATGCTCGTGGCGAGAAAAGAAGCATTCGTTCAGCCAGATCGAGTAACGATTGTCCGGCCGCGATAAACACGCGCCACGGTTTCCGTTCTACGCGTCCTGACGACCAGACACGAGAGGAACGACACACGGGAGACTACCCGCGTCCTCGTCGACGAAGGGATGAAAATTAAACGCGGTTAATGAAATTCCAGGTTACAACCCTGTCCCTGATGGGAACTTGGAAAAGTTGGCGAAACGAGAATAAGCGAGGTTAAACGAGACAGGACAATCTTCGCGGCACCACCACGCTCGATGGGAGCATTATTTATTCAGAGACCTAGGACGAAGTTAATGGGCGAGTAGCGACGATTACCCAGGCTGCCTATTTTCCAGTCGTTATCATCCTCGATGACTCGTTAGAGGCATTAAACCCGTCTCTGTTGGAGAAACGAAGTTTCGACAGAGCGTAGAGTACGGCTACGGCAGGGGTACAGGACGGGTCCGCAGGGGTGGCGTTAGGTAGGATCTTCGCCGTTGTCAACGTTAATACCGTAAATCTCGGAAGGGGAAGGACGCGTGTATATGCAATCATATTACGTATGATGGACGAAGAGTCGCAGAACGGAGGAAAATCGAGAGAAAAAGAATGACGAATGGACAGAGGGAGGAGAGGAGGGAGAAAGAGGGTGAGACAGAGAGGTAGAGAAGCTCCATTGATTGGTCGGTGGCACGGTGGAACGTTGCAGTTGCCCTGGGGGTATATGAACCCCGGCACGGCCTCTCTTTCTCTCTGTCTCTCCTGCTTCTCTCCTGCTTCTCGCTCTTCCACCCTCCTTCCCATAGTTTACCCTCGCTACGATTTTACCCCACGGCAAAACGCAGGCGCGTCACATGGACCCAGAAACGATCAATACGAGCTTCCCCGACTAGACCTAGTCTCTCTCCCACTCGCCGCTTTTCTATCCTTCTTTCGCGTCCATTCCATGCTCTATCATCCTCCTACTAGGCTCGCAACCCTCGGTCAATCTTTGATATCGCCTGGTTCGGCTGGGAATTTTCTTAGGGAAAGGGCTGAAAGAGAAGAACCGTATAATCGTGCGATGCTGACGTAACCTCGGTTAACGGTCTTTCCCTTATCTTCGTTCCTCGGCCACCCCGACAGGCACCCGTGTCCTTCGTTTCGTCTGCCCAAACCGCCTGTCCCGAGTCGACGAAACGAAAGATGGCGAGTGGTCTCGGTTCTATCCGGCAGAGAAAGGCGGAACGGAAATCGTTACGGTGAAACATAGGGAAACGGAAGGAAGCGATACTTTAAGACCGTGTTCCCTGAAAACGTTCATTGGCACACTATCTAACACCCCTTTATCCCTCTCACGCACCATTGTGGTCGAGGCCATCGCGGACGGAAGCGTCCCTCTCGAGACTTCCTGCTTGTCCTCGACGAGGACCCGCAGTGCCAGTTGGTCCATCCTGGATCTGCTTGATCCTTCATGCACACTCTCGCCGTTTTCCATCGTCTTGTTACCGGACATATTCGACATATTCGATCGACCGTGTTTTTCGAAACGTTTCTCTCTCGTTATATTTTTTTTTTTTTTCCGTTTCTCGTTTTTCCTTTTCTCGTTTAATTATGAATCTTTTTTTTT